CTTGCTAATATCAAGTTTCTACATAATTTATTCGTATGGATAGAGATTTGCAGCATAAAATAAATACTTATAAAACGAATTGCCCTTTAATTTCAGGTGTTGTGATTGTATAGACAATTATAATTACTGTATTATCATTTTATTAGTTGATTTATTAACAGTTAACAAAAACTATAAATGCTCTCATAATGTGAATTGCGAATCAAGTCGTCATTCGTAAGCCATTTGTAAGTCTTTTAACAGCAAACTTCCATGCTGAGGGTAGACCCTCTGCATCTCTGGCGTTTATACATCTATCATCAAGTTTGTTTCTGTATATTTCTATTTTTTCGGCAGGCTTCGCTAAAGTTCGAGAGTGTATTCAGTGGCGTAGCGTGGGTGTCAGCCGCCTGGGGCGGGGAAAATTTTCGTCCCTCCTTATTTAGGTATCTCAATTTAAAAGACTAAAATTCAGTTTCGTCACAGAATAAGTGAAAAATTCCGTGCTAGAGTTGCCACTTTTTAAAAATCGCTGACCCGGACGGCAGGTGAGGTTTGTTCGAACAGAAGTTCCTGACGCATGCGTATGTCATTTTGCAATGCATGCTGGTTCTAAATCAGTTACAGTTAGCGACTAGGGAGGCTTGGATAGGAGTAACGCAAATGACTTAGCTCTATTGGATATTGAAGGTATATATATATATATACACACCTTCAATATCCAATAAAGCTAGGTACGTATATTCGTATATATATATACGAATAAATCGTACAGGCAAAAAAATAAATAAATAAAAGATCGACAGGTTGCGCACGATATCCCCGGACGGCGAGTCGATTCCCGGACTGTACGGATGGTATTCTGTGCTTATTTCAATCGGTCCGAATCGTAGGTGCACGAAAATATGAAATAAAATGGTTCAAATTCTTACAAAATATTATTATTATTTATTGTGAAATTTTGCCACCCCCACTACGCTACGCTACTGAGTGTATTTGCCTAATGATTTCAGCCTCCTCCCATCCAACTACAGAACCTTGGGCTTGAGCCATTTGGGCCAGCACAGTTGCGTTTGATTTTTTCTTAACATCATATTTATGCTCTCTGACCCTTACCCCCAATTTCCTCGTTGTAACTCCTATGTACTCCTTTTTTAATCCTAATTGTTGGTTCTATCCTAATATTTTTTACACTTTAATTATTTTACTTAGTTACTCAGTTGTCGATATTTTTTTGAATTTGAATTTAATGTTCTATTCTTTGTGGTTATTCCATATTCGTTTTTTTTAACTTGAAGATGATCTATGGGGTAGATCGAAAACGTTCGTTTTTTTAAAA